TTATAGTGACACAAAGATGATTAACCCAGGTACTATCCCATGTTTCAGGCATTCACTCAGGATCTTGGAAGGTATCCTCCCCAGATAGGGGGAGACTAATGTAATATCATTTTCAGCCTGAAAAAGCAGTATGTGATATGGCTATACCTATACAGTATATGCTATTTATTTGTTCTTAGATTGGAATCCACACATGGTTTATGGCCCTGTGAAACAACTATAACCATAGTAGAACCTAAGGTAAACCAGGAGTATACACTTGAACTTTCTGACTTTCCTTATTCAGTCATCAGATATACATTTAGTGATAATGTACCAAGAAAATATCCCTCTGTTCTGATACTGGCAAGTATATATTAATGTTTAGGGGTCCGCCTTCAGGAAATTCTTTTGGTTTGAAATGCTGGATGCTTACTGCTAGCATCTTCTAAGTACATCAAGTGGTAACTACCCATGCATCACCCATACACTAATCACAGTTATAGCCTTGGGCCCTTTGTTCATATTCTTAACTTTCCTATGGCTTTTATGCTCTGTCACTCACAGTATGCTAGAGATGGACATGGGCCCATAGCCCCTAAAATGTATTAGACCCTTTTTTTTTTTTGGTACCAGGGATTGAACTCAGGACCTTCTGCTTTTGAGGCAAGTGGAGGAACCACTGAGCTAAATCCCTGGCCCTGTATTAGACTCTCTTTGTTTGTATCTGTTATAGCTTTGACTCCAATTCTGCCTTTGACCTTTTTGGCTTGGTCTTGCTGGGGTCTGACTCTTCCAATGGGATTTGGATTGGACCAATATCTCTAAGTTGGGCATGCCTCACAGAAGATATGATTCTAGGTCCAGCTGTTGTGCTCAGATCGCGAGGTCCCCAAAGACCACCAAGGAGCCGATTCCGATGCAAACACACGGGGGTCGTTTATTCAAGCTCGAGCAGGGACTCTTATCCGACACCGACGCAGCGGGTCAGGGTTGAGAGCCTCGACTCTAAAACACCAGGGGTTTTTATAGAGGTTACAGCAAGGCGCGGGGTTTCAAAAAGGCGCGGGGTTTCAAATCACACGCAAATCACACAATTGGCTAGCATTTAGCAAGTTTTGAAAGTTTAAACCTAATTGGTTGGGCCTTGCGTGCTGAACTGCAAATGGCTGCTCAAGTCATCGAAAAGAACATCTGGGATACTGGGGTATTGGGGTAACTACTGATTAGCTGTTGCAGGCCATCAAGAAGAGCATCTGGGACATTGAGGCAGCTACTGATTAGCTGTTGCTAGGCTAGTTGCTAGGGGACTGCTGAACATTATCACAGGCAGGTGGCCAAAGTGCATCTTGTGGTTTTTCTTGGAACTAGAATTTATGTCCAGGCCACCTTACTCTAAAATGGGGCCAAATTTTAAAATGGAGTCACTCAGATCTCACACAGCTCCTTTTCAGTTCTCAGCACTGAACTTCCAGCCAGGTTTGTGTCCCTATCAGCTTTGGATATACTTCCTGGAGCCATCTATTTCAAAGTCCCTTCCCAGTTGCTGTTATAAAATGGGTAATCAATGCTCTTGATACCTACGGCTGAGGTCCATGGTATTATAAAAGGAGAACACAGACATCCTTTAACACAAATGAGAAGGTGGAAGGCAGAATGTCTATTTTTGTGTTGTAAATACTGCTGATCCCAACTCTGGACCCTGCTTGCCCTTCCAAAGGAATTAACAGGTGATCCAGTAAAATGCCTTATCTTCTTCACACACTTGTAACTATGCATAGTTAAGACCTATAGGTTTAAGATGACCCTTAGAAAATCGGTTTCTAATGTCTTTCTTGCTTGAGTAGCTGAGCTATAAGCCACTCTATTCACACAGCCAAGTGTCTGCATTAAGGTGCACTGCACTGAACATTTTTGGTAGCCTCTGGAAGAGCTTCCTGAATTTAGACATCCCATATCTCTGACAGCTGAAATGTTATAGAATTCAGGCTGCCAGGGATTCTGATTCTAATTCTGGCCCAGAAAGGATCACAAGATTGCTGTGAAACAACAACTCAGAACTGACTAAATTGGGCCACACCTGAAGGCAGAGTGGCCTTCCCCGGCAAGACAGGCAAAGTCAATGCTGGTTAATGGATCATTTGGTTCACCAGTGACTTAGACATAGTGCCAAATTGGTAGCCATACTTCAATACAGCATGGAAGGCTATGTTTTTGTATAGGAGCGCCAGCTTTGAATATAATCCTTAGGAATTCCTACAAGCCAGATATGGTGGTGCATGCCTATAATCCGAGCACTCAGGAGGCTGAGGCAGGAGGATTGCCACACATTTGAGGCCAGACTGGGCTATATAGAGAATTCAAGGCCAGCCTGAACTACATAACAAGACCCTATCTCACAAAACAAAAACAAACTATCTCCCATCTCACTGAGGACAGTTCTGAATAATATATTATTATTCAGACCCCTCACATGGTAAGCACTAAGACATTAGGTAACAATAGGAGTAAGGCTCTGGTTTATCAGGCCAAGCAATTATCCTACCCAAACTGGTAATGACTCACTACCACCTCTGTTGAGATATCACGTGCATCTCAGTCCCAGGAAAATCTTGTCCCGTAGTCATTTGGAAAAAAGAAACACTAGGAGTTAACTAGAATTCTCCATGTTCAGATCTCTAGCTTCCCAGTAGTCTGGAGCTTCTCACTAGAAACCCAGGACCCAGCTACATCTTAGAGCTTTCCTGTTCTACAAATCAGCTCCCAGGACCATGGCAAGTTATACCTGCAGATCACAAAGTTTTTGCTTCCCTATCCCTTTCTCTTTTTTTCCTTTCCATCCCTAATATCAGTCAAGTGTACTGTTTCCTGGAAGCTGTGCTTTTACATCAGGAAGAGAAAGATCACAGCTCCCCAGCAGGTGCCTTGGACATGTATCCTTACTAATGATTTATTATATTTTTATTTTTGGTACCAGGGATTGAAGCTGGGACCTTGCACTTGCGAGGCAGGCACCAGGATCACTGAGCTAAATTCCCGGCACCTAAATGTTTATTTTTGTTCTTAGGTCTAGATGCTGAGTGTCTATGAAAAAACATAAAGGAAAAACAAACAAATAAAAACAAAAGAAAAAAGTGGAAAGTTTTGAGACTTTGAACTATCTATAGGGAGCCCCAATATCTTTGTAAACAGAAGGAACATGTGGCCTAAATCAAGTTACTCTGCCCCAGCTTTACCTTCTGGCCCAAATGTCTGACCTCATGAGCCAGTTCAAGGAAACTTTCTTTTCTGGTTACCAACATCAATCTTGTCCCCACCAAACTGGCATAATTAAGCCTCTTCTGTTCCAGCCTGGGTGACTCTACCTGTAGAGTGCTCCTGGTGCCACCTCACAGAATGAATGTGATTCTTGACCTCTAAACACTTGCAAATAATTGTACATCTACATGGCATTTTGGTCCACTCTCCAGACCATCAGTGAGAACCTAGACAGCTTGGTTTTCAGTGATCTAAGGAAGCAGCAGAATTTTTCATAAGCCCAGAGATGGAGTTTCTGAGCCACATCCTCCTCAGCTGAGCTATCCACACGGTACCACACAGTATCATATACAGAATGGTGGTGCCTAGGAGCTGCATCAAAGACATGCATGAGGACATGCAATACTCCTCGCTTTTGCTCCACATTATAGGCTCCTGTTTTCCCCTGCTTTTTGCTTGGCTCCAGAACCTGACTCTCATGCATCCCTTGGATGGCATAGCAGGGTTCTTACTTCAAGTGAAGAAGTCTGATGCAGGAAGGCTTTGCCTGGGACTGGTGTTTTTTAAAACATGTCTTAGGACACTGCATTGCATTTGTACTGCTTCCTTTAACATCTATGCCTCATACAGTCTTAATGACTGACAAATTAATGTATCACCATAAAAACTGGATGAAAAGTATCCACATTGGGAGAATGTGCACTCTTCTTACCCCCGTTTTGTACTCCACATGATTTCTCATATCTTCCTATCAGAATTAGATCTTATTGCCTACAATTTGCTTAGTGTACAACCCTGTAATTTGCCTCTCCTTTGGGCCAGGCCTCCACCTTAGTGACCTAGCTGTCATCAACCACTATCCTCACTACAGATCTCCACCCTTAAATATACCACCACTTATTCCAATGGATCAGACTCCCTAACAATGAAATGGTTCTTTAGGGTTGAGAAATTTTATGAAGTCAATTGATTCTCCCAATCCAAGCAAATACACAATATGTACACACACATAAAACATTGTATCTAATTTCAGGGGACTGACCTAATGAAGCCCATCCATTGACTCTTAAAATCACAATATTCATGGGCCGGGGCTTTAGCTCAGTGGTTTCGCCACCTGCTGAGCAAGCGCAAGGACCGGAGTTAGATCCCAGTAGCGGGAGGGATGGGGAGAGGGAGAGGGAGGGGGAGGGGGAGGGGGAGGGAGAGAGACATCTAGTGTTGACATAAGTGTACCACGGTCCTAGAATGAAATTACTGTGAAGAAATTTTATATCTGCCTTCCTAATGAGTTTCCATAGCCACTATCTCTAAATTTCCAATCTCATAACAATTCTTGTGGTTGAAGTATGTGCTCCTCACAGATCTCAATAAAATCTGCCGAATGAGGATGTTGATTGGTCACATAGTGATAGAGGATTTGTTAAACTAATGAAAGGATGAAATTCTGATATTAAAATAAGGCTTAAAGATGAGAAAGAAGTTTTGTAAAGTTAAGGTGAAAAAAATGAGAGTTTTTAAAATAGAAGATTCTACAAGAAAAAAAATCTATAAAATATATTACTTAGGACCCCTTTTTCCTCTTGGAAAAACTAAAAGTTATAGAGATCCATATCATTTTCTTTTTTTTTTTATTTGTACTGGGTATCAAACTTGGGTCCTTGTCCTTGTGCAGCAGGAGGCGAAACCACTGAGCTAAATCCCCAGCCCCATATCATTTTCACATAATGTTAACAGTTTTAAATTCAGTTCTAGATACATACCCAGGAAGACAATGCATCTGCTTCAAGTAGAGGTTTGGAATGAACATTTTCATCTTCTCCAATGAATCTAATGACTTTTTCCTTCTCTGTAGATGTTGAAGGTTCCTGCAGCAAAGAAACACCAAGGACCTGTTAGCCAGGTGATGTTTAATACAGTGACATGTCAAGTTACCTGGAGACATGCCTGAAATTTTAATTTTCACTTGCCTTAATCATTCAGCAGACATTTTTGAAGACTTACACACAACAAACACTACAAAATTGTGGAAATAAAGGATTAGGGACAAGTGAATATAACCATGGAAAAAACAAAGGATTTCTTCCAGAACTCAGGAACTCAAGTATAGCAAGAGAAACAGATAATAAAATGAATAATTATGGTACAACATGATTACTGTTAGCATGAAGTGTGTTTCAAGGGTCATATGCACCCAGAAAAGGGTTCACCTAGAAATTCCAGATTGTTACAGAGAAAATAATATTTGAAGGCTGGATAGATGTGGTGAATTAACCAATGGTTAAGCATGGTTCTGGGCATGGAAGGCTCACCAAGAGTTGTTGCCAGTGGCATAAAAGGAGAACTGGAGGGGAAGACTGTAGGCTGTTGATTTACTTGGAGAAGTTTGCCTCGGCTGGTTTTCCTGATATGATCTTGGTTGTTCTCATCATCAGAGGAGCTTGGGTCCTCCCTGTCACTGGGGATGGCTGCTGTTCTCATCAGGGGAGCTCTGGGATTTGCCTTGAGCATCGCTTCCTGGCTCTGGTGCAAAACTCTCAGCCTGGTGGCACAAATCCTTCACCCCACCAGAGCAGACTTTTTAGCTTCCACCACTGGCCTTTGGGCCTTCCCGGTGCAGATCCTCAGTAGGACTTGCATGAGACATTGCCATGGGCTCTAGGCCTCTAGCTGGACTCATGGAGGACATTCCCTAGGGCTCTAGGCCTTAAGCTGGACTTGTGTGGAACACTGCCATGGGATCCAGGCCCTCGGCTGGATTCTTTGGGTCTCTGGTGTGTGGAGAGATCTCTTGCACTCCTCTGCATTTGACTTTTTGGGTGAATATTATAAAATAATCCTATAAATTTTGTCCTGTATTAAGTCTATTCCCTGACTACAACAATAGATGCTATAAAATAGACAGGAAAGAGCCTGAACTAAGTCCACATATTAATGATAATAATGATAATAACAACAATAATATTTCAATTTATTCTGTAACTAAATGGAAAAGTACTTTCCCTCCTATATGCCAGACACTTTGTCAGAATAAAACTGAAGTGCTAGTTAAAAGAAGCTTGAGTGTACCATAATATTGTTGTCCTGCCTTTGCAATGAGTAGAAGGCCTGGAACAGAGCCTGGAGTTGTGGCACTATTTAAACTACCTTCAGAGAAGAAACACTACAGAGAGTGTTACGCAGGCTTGAGGTCTGGATGCCAAAGACAGTAGCAGTCAATCTAGGATCCAGCAAGGCTCTTCTGCCAGGCTCATCTTGCTTTGAACACTGGTTCTTCCACTTAAAGCAATATGATTCTGTAAGTCAGTCAGACTTTCTGAGGTTCAATTTTCCTATCTATAAAATGAAGGTACTATTATACTTATTGAAGTTGTTTTGTGTAGATAAGAGATAACATGCGTAGAGCATTATAGCTCATGATAGGCACTCAATTATTGGTAGTTACCATTGTATTTCTTAGTATTATTATCACCACGAATGCCTAGAAAGGGTTTCTATTACTACTAATGCATCAGCAAGGAAAGAGCAGGGTAAGGTGAGGAGAGGTATGGGGCTGGCCCTGAAAGGAAGTGGGAAAGCCAGCTGAGAGTGGAGACATGGAGTTTAAATCATAATTTAAAAAAATAGGGACAGAAGCCAGGTGAGGTGATGCACACCTATAATCCCAGCACTTAGAAGGCTGAGTTCAAGGTCAGCATGGACTACATAGTGAGTTCAAGGGCACCCTGAACTACATAGTGAGACCCCCATCTCAAAAATACAAAACTAAAACCAACCAAACAAAAACCCAGCACTATGGTGAGAGACTGTATAGATAACAGGGTAGGTGTGAATAAAGCTAATGGGAAATTGCTGGATTTAGAAAGGAAGAGACACCTTTTCCTCTAGAGGAAAAAAATAATGTGTGCCTGCAGGTGTGAATAAAGCTTTATGGGGAAAAGAAGGAACAGTTCACTCTAGATGACCTACTTCTACTTTCCATGGTACTTATGTCTAGTTTTACAAAAGAGAAGGAGAAATGAAAAAGCAATACTACATAATACAAGGTCTTGCCACGTTGCCCAAAATCAGTTTCTGGGTTTAAGGGATCCTCCTGCCTCAGCTTCCCAAGTAGCTGAAACTACAGGTGTGCACCACCATGCCTAGCACATAATCTTACCTCTTCTGGTTTCTCTTCTTCCTCTTCCTTCTGAAGTTTCTCATCCTCCTTATTTTCTCCTTCATCCTCTTGAACAGGCTTTTCTATTTTAGGCTCAGTTAATTCTTTTATAATGTCCTGTGCAATGTAACAATATTATATGTTAGTATATATAAATATTAGTGATTATTTGTTCAAACATTAAATGAGCAGTGATTCTGCAACTGAGTACTGTCCCAGTGATAACACAAAGGTTAATAAAAATGGTCCCTGCCCTTAAAAAACTTAAAATTTTGAGGACAAGAAAATGTTCTACCTAGGAGTGGTGGTACACCCTTGTAATCCCAGCACTTGGGAGGCTGAGGCAGGAGGATTGCATGAGTTCAAGGCCAGCCTGAACTACATAGCAAGACCTTGTCTCAAAAAAAAGAAAAAAAGAAAAAAAATGTTCTGGATGTATATAGTTATTTAGTGGAAGCACCCAATCCAGACCCAGTAGTGGGTGAGGGTGAAAGAAGAGATTAAGAAGGTTTCCCAGAGGAGCTATTATCTGAGATTTTTCTTGTAGTATGAGGAAGGGAGAGCAGAAGACATAAAGATCTAGACAGAGGATTCCATGTGCAGATGACTGGTTCTGAGAACAAAATCAGTTTAATAGGTCAGAAATTTTGAGACAAAAGGATAGGGGTTCACACATAGAGGAAGGGCTGGGTTGTCAGGCCAGGGAATTAGATTTTATCCTCAAAGAAATGAGGCAGAAAAAAACTTGATAGCTCTATTTTACATTTTAAAACAATCATTCCAGCAACAGGAAAGTAGATTTTGAGAAAGAAAAGAAGAGTAGAAAAAAGCAAGGAAGGAAGAGAGAAAAGGTGGGAAAAGAAAGACACAAGGAGGAAATGTGCACAGTGGTTGGGGTAATGAAGAGAGGAGGGTTCAAGAAACATTTAAGAGACAACATTTAGTGGCTAATTAGATGGGCATACGATCTTAAATGACACGTGGTTTATTGTTCATGCAACTAGGTAGATGATGCTGCTGTTTGCAGAAGTAATGAACAAAGTTGGATATGCAGGTGTGGGGAGTGAGATGAGTTCAGAGTAGGGAGTGTGAGTTGGGGAACCACTGAGTACCAAGTGTAAATTTGAGAAAAGAGAGAAAGATTACAAAAATAATTAGACCTGAAAAAGGATCAAGTAAGATTTCAGCAACTAAATTTAAAAACTCAACATATAGTAGATTAAATTCAACTGAATAGTAAATTAGTGAACTGAAGATAAGCCAGAAGCAATGATCTAGGATCAATGCAGAGAGATAGAAAATATGAAAGAATGTCAAAGGACATGGGGGATAGATTCTAATACACATTCATCCTGAGTTATAAAGGAAAAAAAAAAAAGTAGAGGCAATGGATGGAATGGAGGCAATAGATGAATAGATGATGCTACGGTCTTACTGTATCCTCCAAAGTTCACGTGTTGATGACTTAATCCCCAATGCAACAATATTGAGAAATGGAACTTTTGTTCATGGGATCTCTGCTCACTACAGGAGTGGGTTAGTTCTCCCAGGGTGACTTCCTTATAAAAGGGTAAGTTCAGCTTCCCCCTCATAGCCAAGATCATATCTCCAGTAATTCATCGAGTTGTTTAAATTATACTGTAATTGAAGATCTCCAAAATTGATGAAATCTTTCAGTAGTTAATTAAAAAATAATTCTAAGCAAGATCTGGGTATCCCAGAAAAATAAGCATTTGTAAAGGGTACATATTTTTAAAAGGTAGTGTTTAAAGTGCCACAAATGTATAGATAGAAACTTTCCCTTCCTTCTCAGATTCAGGAACACTGCTATACACCATTGGTTAGTTTGGTTTTGACAGTAATGGAAACTTCTTCAGAACTTACTGGAGGTGACTGCCCTTGAAAAAGACTGCAATAAGAATAAAAGCTTTGTGACTGCCATTAAATACTTGGTATTCGCTGATTTGGGATTCTTGATAACTAGGTGGTAGTTGAAGCCACAAGATATACACAATAACAGGTGGGGTGTATAATAAGAAGTGAAAGCAAGCTAAGGACAGAATATCAACATGTAAGAGGCAGAGGTGGAAAAAGAAGGAGGATGAATAAAAATAAAAAGGAAACTTTGGTCTTGTGGGGAGAGATTGCAAAAGGAGTGAATAGTTAACAAGAGCCAAATGCTTCAGAGAAGCCAAGTTAAATATGAGATTGGAGCTACTTAGAGGTGATAATCAGGGATTGTAGTGACTTTAAAGTAGTTTCAGAGGTTTTGGAGAAGTGACTGATAGGGAGGAAGAAAAGAAAGTGGTAGTAGAGGAGACAAGATCAAGAGACATACCTTTTAGAATGGGAGAAATGACCATGTTTATAGATTGTTTTTAGATTGATATGGAAGACATTAAAGATACAGAAGAGAGAGGACATTGGACATGAAATGAAAGGAAGACAGAATCTTAAATGGGAAGAGACTGGAACGGAGGAAGGGTAAGGCAGGAGCAGGTTAAATCTGAGGAAGTAGCATGGAGCTCCCACCTGGGACTTATTCTTTCCCTTGTGAAGCAGGGTACAAAAATCACCTGCTAACAAAGGGAGCAGAAAAAATGTTTGAGTAGATGACTCCCTTCTCAAGAAAAGAAAAGTTGCAAGTACTCTTGTTCAGAACCAAAATTCTTGTCTGATAGAGTAAATGACAAAGATGAAGAACACTGATTGAAAACAGTTGCTTAAATTTATCTACTAAAGTAAAGGAAGAATTTGAATAATGGCAGATCTTATTTTCTTATAAATGGAATGATGCTAACACATGATAAGTACCTCTTCTTCAAGTAGTTTCTCTTTTACTTCATGTGTCAGGAATTTCATTTTTTTGTCTTTGAGCTCAGAAAGGAGGTGAGAGCATGTGTTGATCCATTCATAACATTCTTTCTGAAACAAGACAAAAGATAATTTCTATGCAGGAAAAAAATCACATTACACCAACTCATTTCTTAATTTCCTCCTATTGATGAACTGCTAAATACTATTCCTCTAAATATATCTTCCTTCAGTTAATTTTCTATTAGTTCAGTTCAAAGATCTGTTCTGAACTGACTTACCATCATACGCAGAGACCTAGATCATATTATCTCAGAGGCAAAAAATTTAAGTAACCAAACCTAAACTCTTAGGTTACTGATAAAGAAACTGAAGCCTATGGCAGTAAAGTGATTTTGCCACACTTTTGTTAATACGACTGACACATTCTGGATTCAAAGAGTTAAGATGATGTTTTATTGCGTATCAGGAAGAGGACTGGACAAGGCAGATGGAAGTACTGGGTTTTAGTTCTAAATTCTTCTAATTAGAGGAAAAATTTTGAGAAATAGAAAAAATGGAAACAAAGTCTTTGTAAATAGGGAAGGGTAGAGGGGGTGAAGGGAGGGCTGGGAATGGGGAAAAAATAAGAACCAAGATGCATCATGTAAAGGTACAAGTTCCCAATGAGAAATGTAAATGTATTGTATACCTAAAATGTACCAATAAAAGAATTTTTAAAAAATAGACACACAGACCAAGGAATAGAGGACACAGAAACAAACTCATACAATTACAGTCATCTAATTCTTGACAAAGGGGTCAAAAGTATACATGAGAGAAAAAAACCTCTTTAATAAAAAATGCAGGGGTGCTCCGCCCACAGCACGGTGAGGACCCAGGTGCGACTTGGAGCTCTTGCTCCATCCAGCTCTCTGCTTAGCCATGTGGGTGCCTGCAGGGCCCAGTCCTGCTCCCCACCCCCACCTCTGGCCTCCTGGCTCTTCTGCTACCTGCTTCCACACTACAGAGGCACAGGGGATTATAAAGGCCCTTGTCCTGAGCACCACAAGATAGAGCAGAAGTTAGCAACAGAAAGAGGGCTTCTCAGGCTCCTTGATGAAAACTGAAGCTTAGTTGAAAAGTGAAGAGAATCTCTACAATGAAGGCTCACCAGACCACCATACTTCATAAGTTGGAGGGATCATCACCTCCCATTGGAACCTGCACTATCTTCAGGGGAAGGGCAACTGAAACCTGCAGTAGAACTTTTCAGAGTTCAACCTGCAAGAGGATAGGGAGCTCAACTTGGGACTAGCAGCCAGAAATCTGCCCTGAATTTCACAGGTTTGCTACTGGCTGGCTGAGACTCACTGACTTGTATATGCACACGGCTGCCGATGTTGCCTACTGTGACAGTAGAGACATACCCTGAAGGAGGCCCTTCATTTTTATCTTATTTGCAAAAAAGAAACAAATTTTTTCTCTTATTTTTAATTCTTAATTTTTACTTTTTTCTACTCTTTTCAAATTTTTACATTTCTCCTCTTTTCTTTTATCTCTCTCTCTCTCTCTCTCTCTCTCTCTCTCTCGCCTCACTGCTAATCTTTCCTGATCTTTCTACCTGTCCCTCCCTCCCCACCTCCTTCTAACTCCCCATCCTGAAGGGTAAAGTTGCTATACTGAAGAGTTTATTCACTATAAACATGTTGGATTGGTCCTTGGTTTTGATTTAATTCACACAGTTAAAGGTGATAGGTTAATGACTACTGCAAATTGTCATTTTCTAAGCTGCGCTTGATGCTATGATGTTGCTGATTGTATCATTTGGGCTAATTGTATCATTTGTGATTGAGCTAATTAGTTGTCCTTCCTGATATAATGAAAATGAAATAACCTCAGAGTCATTAGAGTTTCAAAACCCAAACACAAGCTATATCTGGAAGACACCTCTGAAAAGCAATCATTCCACAAGGGTTTTAAACACAAGCAACAACGATACCTACATTAAGCAACTTTGAAATATCAACCCAGGAATTAAACCAAGGAGAGTACCAAAAACAAAAATGAGAAGACATTTAAGCTAGGCACAAACTCAGGCTTCAACCCCAGAAAAGGCAAATTCTGGGGGAAATAAGGTGGAAAAGTCTGATAACCAACCACCTGGACACTCTGAACTGATAGCACAGGAAGTAACAAAACAGATGAATGAGGTTCTAGAAAAATTCAAAGCAGAAATAATTTCCCAGATAACTATAGAGATGGTGAGCATAGTGAAAGATATGATTAGAGGCTCTAGAACAGAAACAATTAAAAAAAAGATGAACTCAGAAACATGCTGGAAGCCATGAATGACCAGCATGAGAAAGAAATGGAAACCATGATTGCCCAACATAAGAAAGAAATGGAATCCATGAAACAGTTTCAAACAGATATTCAGGAGATTAGGAACTCCACTGAAAGTAGCCACAGCAGATTAAGAGAATATGAAGATGGAATATCAGATACAGAAGACAAGATTGTGGTTAAGGACCATGAAAACAGAGATTTCTTAAAAATAGTAAGGGACTATGAGAAACAAATCCAGTAGCTAGTAGATGATACAAAGAAGAATAATAGAAGACTGATAGGAGTCCAAGAAAAAACAATAGAAAGTACAATAGACATAATAAAAACTGTTCACAGACATAATAGTGGAAAACTTCCCAGACAGAGGAAGAGAATTGGACATACAGATAATTGAGGCATATAGAACTCCAACTAGCCACGATAAAAAAATCTACACATAGACATATCATAGTCAAGATCCCAGAAACTCAACAGAAGAACAAAATCATACAAGCAGTTAGAGAAAAGAAGCAAATCAACTACAAAGGAAAGCCCATCAGAATCACAGCAGACTTCTAAACACACCCTCAAGTCAAGGAGAGCCTGGAGTGAAGTATTTCAAGCCCTAAAAGAAAATAACTTCCAACCTAGATTGTTGTATCCTGCAAAATTATCTTT